TGTGTGTAAATATCTTGGCAATTAAGAATCTTTTTGACCGTATTTTAGCTTATGTAAAATATATGTAAATATATATATATAATGAAATAATTTATATACATTCAAAAATTCAAATATTATTGTATGTAAATGCATAAGAATAAAATAATCTACATATATATTTCAAAGTTTAGGTTGTATTCATAAATACTTAAGAAAATGGAATATTATGCATTTAAATCTCAAAATTCAAGTGTTATATATGCATGTACTTGGGAATTAAATAACATGTATACTTATTTTTTTAAAATTTAGGTGTTATGTATATATAAATATAATAGAATTGAAAACTTTCATATATGGATTTCAAAATTCAAATGCTATATATATATATATATATATATTATAATATCTAGTAGTGGCTAGTTTCAACCATTATTAATTTCTGTTTATTTTGAGTTTTTAGCTTGATTTCTTTATTATTGCATTCCTTCTCTACTATATCTTTTTTATTTCTTTCCTTTCTAATAAATTTTGTAATGGGTACTTATACCCCACTTTGCATCAATAAGATTCACCTAGTCTATTCTAACACGGTATCAGAGCCATAGTCCAAACCTAACTGTCGTCGGGCCTCTCCTTGCTGTCGGCTGGCTAGTACTTGCTGGTTCTGTCATCTCTTCTCCTCAGTCGGTTAGGCCTGCTATGGTCATGTTTGCTTTAGGGGTCTACCGGAGCCGCCTAGATTTTGCCTCCGCCCCTTCTTCTCAATCCGCTAGGTCTACTTCAATTCCGTCTACTTTAGGGTCTGCCGGAGCCACCCTTAATTCCCTAACTGCGAGATCACCTCCTAGCCATCCGATGACCATCCAGATCCTCTGCTTTAATCAACTTGGGCACCTTCCAGCCATCATAACCCTGCCTAACTGGCCGACCTCCCTCTAAGTTTGTCGGAGCCCCTCTTGGAACCTTCTTCCAGCTGGCCAGGTCCCATGGGAACCCTTCCAGAGGCCATATTTCTTCATCAGCCGGAAATTTACGATGTCTCGACAACCTAA